GCATATAATTGCATATTTGGAATAAAAATTATGCATATATATGCGCATATTTTGATTGAATTTAACTGCATATATTCCGCGCTTTAGTTATAAGTCACAGGTCTTTTCTATAGGGTGCGCAAATTTTAAGTCACTACCTGCTAGGAAGTTCGTGCTATGAATTTTCAAAGAATAACGAGCAGTTGGGTGAACATGTTCATTTTTGGCTCATCATTCACAAGCTCAACAACTTGAGGAATTTGGGTGCAATTTTAGGGGTTTGAAGCCGTTAGTGTTTTATGAATATCAAGGTGCCAGCTAATCTCGAACGAAAGTTGCAATTATTTTAAGAAGGGAGTGCGGTGGTGTGAACATTTTCATTTTTGGTTCATCCAGGTTCCATTTAGGTTGCAAAAAATTAGGATATTGCCGGAAATTTTTTCGGTTTTCAGTAGGTACAGACTGTCTTCTATAGAGTGTGCGACATTCAAGTTGCTACCTACAAGTTACACACTTTATACGTTTTTTGCCTTAAGTTTCCTTCAGGATGACTTTAGTTTCTTCCTCCAATTAAGGAGATTTAACGAAATCTGTTGCTGCCTTAAAACTCGTGGCTTCAGTGATCAATTTTCTTATAATCTGCGTCTTTTACAGTAATTTATTTCGCTTTTCTTCCCAACAGTTGCAATTTTCCATGCTACTGAATGTTACGGCAAAGAAGAAATCATCCGACTCCTCATTCCATGAACTCTCGTAGAATTCTGTGATCGTCACTGTCAAATGAATGTTGTTGTCTGTTGAATAAAAACCACAATTTGCACCCGATGGCATTCGCAAGTGCCGCTAAAAGACCCGATTATGTGCTAGTAGTCAAAGAAGAGACTCTTCCACTCATCAGCACTTACATCAGCAATCTAAAGATGCTGGGACTGGACGTCGAATATGCAAAAGGCCTGGTAATTAAGCACTGAAATCCGCGATTATTTCACAACCCTGGGTTTTAGACCGTGGACTTGATGTTCATCAAAGTGTTTATTGCTCCCGATGCCTTGGCGCATTTCTCGCAAATTTACGACATCGGCACTTCTGATCCTTCACTAACTGCCGGGTTCTACTCAGAGCCAGTCATTCCCACCCCGTTCAGGAACCCCTTGGTGCATTCCATCGGATTGTCCTACTTGAGAGGGTAAATTCACTCAAAGAACCAAGGAAAAGATAAAACTGGGAACCTTTTAAAGAGAACTGACTGAAGCCGAGAAAATCATGGTGGTTAACAGAGTTTTGGAGAATGCAAAGTATGGGGAAAAGGAGCGGGAGTTTGGGCTGACCAAATTGATTCAAGTGGGGGCTATTGAGACTGGTTATCCTTTACATGATGGCCCAATTTCGGAAAATGGAACCAACTATCGATCGGTAACGCAAATGCTGGGCAAATTGCAGGTTCTAAAGGGGTTATTGCAGCTGCTGTATCGGCATTGGTCAAATACCCGAGTAACCCACATGGAACAACCTCTGGACACAATTTTCCGCTACTTCGGCAACGAAGTCGCCTTCTACTTTGCATGGCTGGAGTATTTCAACCTAATGCTGGCCATTCCGGCGGTTTTAGGAGCCTTGACTTTCCTGGGAAGTCTTATATTCGTTCTCCTTGGCCAGCCGTATCAAGTGTAAGTTTGTACATTCTCCAGGTGGGGATTCTGATAAGGAAGCTTCCAGGCAGGAAGTTTGTGAAAACTCCAACATGTTGTGCCCAACATGCGAAGGAAACGAAGGCTGCAGGTTCAAGCACATCTATAAATACTGTTCGCTGGCTCAGTGGTCGGTGGTGTTCGATAATACTGGAACTGTGGCTTATGCAGTGTTCATTTCGTTTTGGGGTAAGATTTTAATTTTCTTCTCCTCTAAGAACTGGTCCTACTGTTGCAAAAAAAGTCAGCGGCTGTGTGGTTGCTCTTGGGTCTTGGAGGAACTGGAGATAAACTGGAAGATATTGCTCGAGAGATGACACATAAAATTGACTATTCTATGATCTCTGAGACAAAGGAAAAAGGGGCACGGGACTAAAGAAGTTAAACAAAGAGTTAATAAGGAAGGACATTTAAAAAAATTGTCATTGCTTATAGCTACTAAAAATACAGCAAAAAGCAAAATGGAAGCAACCTAATTGAGCTGGAACAGGTACCATGTACAATTATAAGTATAGCAAAGGTTAAACCAACAACTACCTCAAAAACATAGTCAAAAACAGTTGAATAAAATAAGAACCAAATGAATGCAGCAAGGAGCCAAAGAAGAGTTACATAAAAAGAAGACGAGACCCACAGAGAGAAAAATTATTGGTGAAACGATGAGCCACAAGAAATGGAAGAACAAACGCAAAAGTTTTATCACAGATAGTTGAATGTGAGAGAACAAGAACACAAAAGAGAATATCGAGATAAAATAACCAAATTTAAATATCCCTAAAGTAATAGAAGTAAAAACCGAAACTGAATTCTTGACTGGAGAGAAAATCAAAAGAAAGTGAAGGTTTATTAAAAACATGAGATCCAACAAAAGTGAACAAATAGTATTCACTTCATAGACCCTGAAAAACTCACGTGATTCAGTGAAAAGCACTATTAATTTATGGTAATTTTAATTTGCACCATCAACTACGCATTTTTGAGCATTCACAAAAAATTTCTTTTCCGCCCTTAAAATCCTTACATTCAAGTCGAAAATTCCCATTTCCAATTAAAAAGTTGAACTGCAAACAGAAAAATTAGACTTTTTGAACATAATTTTGCTTCAAAACTCAACATCGAACTTTAAACTCGAAATTCCAACTGGAGTACCGCACCAAATATCCAGTTTGAACGTAAAACTTGCATTTTTGCAACAGGATTGTGCAAACTTCCGAGTCCAATTTTCAATCAATTTAAATTGCCGCCGTAAACAGAATATGTTGTCTGTAATTTAAATATGTAGTTGTATTTTTCATGCTTAAAAGTCGCCCAAACAAAAACACTTTGGAAAACTCGATATGTTTTCTTAAATAAAACCGCAAAGATCGAACGGTCGTGGGGCAAATCAGGGGTTATGAGAAAATGTGAAAATAATCCAAGCGAAAGTGGATCGTTTTGCTTCAAATGTGCGCGATTTAAACATAGAAACCCGACAAATTTTTAATGCGTTTAATTTTGACTTTTAAGGCAAAAACACGACTTAAAGTTCACATTTTTATTGAAGTTTGAGCATCCATTTTTAACTCTCAACTGAAAATATGGACAAAGGAAAAAAGTGTACGAGAATGAGGCTGAATATCGGCGACACCACTTAAACTTAAATACATTGCACTATGCAGATGGCCAGGTAGTGATTGCTCAAGACAAGGAAAACCTATAGTATATGTATGCCCAAAAAACTGAACTCAATATTATGGCAGAATAACAAGAAGCAACGCAAAGACTTCAAGACAATCTACTGGTAGTTGAAATAGATTTTTGGAGAAGATCGGCGAGAAAATCGATACCAGAACACAGTCGAAAATGCATGTAAAAAGATCATTTGGAGAAGACGTTGAAAAACAGGAATTAATATGACTCGAACATGGTAAAACAGTCTGTAGTAAACAGTAACTTTGTAGTTCACTCTGTATCTTGAAAGTTCTAAAAAACAGTTCCATTAGACAGGGAGGTTAAGTTAAAAAAATCGCAATGTTCAACTATTACTTGTTTAGTGGCTTCTTTTACTGAAATTTGATGTTTTTTAGCGACACTGTTCATTGCTTTATGGAGACGAAAAGAGAACAAACTGAAATTCAGGTGGAACTGCGTGGAAGATGTGCGGGAAACCCAAATTAGGTATTTTGCTTCAGTTTCCTCCAAATGCTCAAACCCGAATTATTGTCATTAATTCTTAGAACTTTTTACATTTTTTCCAATATGTTTGTTTACTTCCTTCTCCACCTTTCTCCCCCAGATCCTCAACTGTTGAAAACTTCTTTTTAGACAACCATACTTAGATAAAGCCATCAAACAGCAACTGAACCGCATAACTGGAGAAATCGAGCAGTACACTCCAAGATGTCAAGTGGTTCTTCAGTACAGCTTAACATTTACCGCCTGTAGCATTCTAGTAAAAAAATCACCTTTCTATCAACAATTTTGGCAAAAGCCAGTTTCCAGTTCATACTTCTAGTAGTTCTGGTTCTGGTTAACATGGTGCTGAAAATTCTGCTGGATAGATGGCTGAATTCAACCAGGGTTGGATACATTCGATCGCACTCAACCATGATAACCATGTGCCTGAGTTCAATTATCACAGTTATTATCATTAATTCCTTCAGAGAGGTTGTCTAGTTGCCTCCTGGCATAGATCCAGATAATCCAGAATGTTTCAATTCTAGTTTTACCAGTCAGCTTCGGTGATATTGACGAAAATTGAAAACCCCCGCACTCAGTGCGATTTTGATAACTCGGTCCTGTACAAGCGATACTTGCTAGGGTTTATGAACAACTACGTTCCTACTTTCTATGAAGCGTTTTTTAAGGTAAGTCACAAGCAGACAGGAGGACGATACTGTCCGTTATTTTGTGCATTTCACTTTGGCTCACTGTGTACAGGATTGTGGTTTTGAAAAAGTTAATTAAAGTTAATTAACAGAAATACTTAAACAGGTACTGGATTACCTGCATAGAAACCATAAACTCTCGATACTCTACCAATTTTTTTGATCACCCTGTATATTATTAAGCGTTTGATGGGATTCAAAATAACACAACTACGTTCCCAGTTTCTGTTAACCGTTCACGTCCAAATCTCAACTGGCTCTGAGAGAATTTGGGGTTTTATTTCTAAACTTGCCAGTATTTTAAGACACTCTGTATATTTAATATGAGCGGATGACTGGAATAAAACTCGATTTTATCAATCGAAATAATATACAGGGTGTTTTGCGTAAAAGCTCACAACTATAACTATTAAACCACTTTTTGGAATAGTTTTAGTTTTTCATTAGTTAACATTGTTTTTGACTGTGCATTCCGAATGATTGCGCAAAGTTACACAATTTGCTAATATACAGACAAACACAGGGGTAGGATTCAGGAAATAAAATAGGGAGAAAATTAAAATTTAATTGAGTAGTTATGAGGAAGAAACAAGAAAAGGTGGTTAAACGTGCTTATAATCGAAGAGTGATTAAAACGGCAATAAGGAACGAATTATATTAATGAGAAAGGAAATGTTCTCTAGCAAAGAAGTGAAGAGCAGGAGAGAAAGGAAATAAATGTTAATTACGAAGCATGAATGGAAATAGAATGTTTTGTCAATATCTTGAATAAAAATTCACATTTAGAAAATTAGACAGAAAGTAGAAGAAAATCGAGACAAACGAAGCTGTTGAATAGAAAGGAAGCAACAGAAAAGTTGGGAGCATAGAAACGAGAAAATTAAGAATACAAAATTACAAAAAATTTGAATCTAAGTTCCGAATAATCCTGCAAATTTTGATGAAATGTAATGTAATATGGAGAGAATGAAAAATTAGCTCAGAATTTATCAAAAACAAACATAAAAAACGGATAATCGAAAAGTGATCAGTAATAGTAATAAAGTAGAAATGTAATATGAATGAGAAGCAAAATGTTGTTTATCAAAGAAGCGAAGAGCAAGAAAGAGATGAAGAAAACGTTAGTTGCGTAGCATGAATGAGAAGATCAATTAAGAAAATGTATTTCAATTGTTCTATTTTTCTGTAGTAATTTTTAAGAAAAAGATCAGTTAGAAAAGTACATAGAGGGTAGAAAAAAATCAAAGGAAAACACTTAAAGAATCGAAAATATCGAATAAAGACACAACAAAAAAGTGCAGGAAAACGAAAAAACGATTCAAGAAAAATACAAAGTTGCAAAGATTTTGTTTAAATTCCGAGTAATTTTGCAAAATTTCCAATATATAGAGAAACACAGACGGAAGATCTAGGCACTAAAACATGGAGATAATGAAAAAATAATTGAAAAGTTTTAAAGCAGAAGCAGAAAAGTGGTTAAAGGTGTTCAGTAACAATAATAAGGTAGCAATCAAATATTAATGAGAAATAAAACGTTGTGTAGCGCAAGATACAGAAAAGCAAGGACAAAAGAAAATAAATGTTTATTACATAGAATGGATAGGAATAAAATTAATAAAATTCTATTCAATTACTCAATTTCTCTGTCAGTATAATGAGAAAACAGAATGATTTAGGAAACTGCAGAGAAAGTAGAAAAACTACCTAAAATACGCAAATGCGACCAAGAGACGATCATGTTGAATAGTAAAAACTAGTAAGGACCGGGAAAAGGAAAAATGACTCCAGAAGTATTCACAGATTCAAGAAAAACGCACTTTATAAAAAATGCTGCATGAGTCTAACAACTGAAAAACAAGAGTAATAGTAAAAATTACAATTCCATGTAAGTGGGAAGTGGGATAGAAACAAAGTATTAAAATGTATAAAAAGGAATTATAGGAAAATATTGAATAGTAATGAAAAAAAAAAAGAAATGAAAAGGAATCTGGAAATAGAATAGAAAATGCGAAAGAAATAAAAACGCTTTATGTGATAAGCAAGAACTGAACAGACCCTAAAATTAAAGTTACTTTCTTATCGCAAAAGCATCAAAATGTGCTTAGATGAAGTAGAAAAAGAGAAACATCTAGAGAGAAACTGTTGTATGGCAAAGCAACTAAACTGCGACAGAATAACAAAAATATTGATTAGTAGCCAACAGAAAAGCGCAGGTAACTGAAGGAAAATTACAAAAGCAAAATATACAAGAACTTACTTTAAACTTAAACTGAATAAGATAACTTAAAGTAAAAGTGACAATTCCATGCATCTTGGAAGAAAAGAAAGTATCAAAAAGTGTGAAAAAAGATGAAAATGTTGAATAGTGGTTAAAGAGCGAAAAAACGAAGAGAAAGAAGTGAGAACACACTATGTGATAAGCGGAGCATGAATCCAAAAACTCAACAGAATATGGAGTTAAAGTTAACCGACTTTTTTATTACAAAAGTATTAAAATGTGCCTAAGGAAAGAAAGTGTAAAAAATGTAAAGGAGTGAGCTGTTGAATAGCAAAACAAAAGCAGGAACGCGAAAATATGTCGAAAATATTAAATAGTAACTTAACCACAGGAAAGTGCAAGAAAACCGAAAATGGGTTCAGTAATAATACAAAAGATTTTCAAGAGAAAAAAATACGCAAAACGTGTTTCAAAAACTGAAAAACGCAAGTAATGGTAGTAAAACTTACATTTGCATGCAAGTGGGAAAGAATGAACTAAAAAGCCGAAGACAAAAATAGGAATAATCCAAAATCACAGAAGCGAAATTTTTTTTATGACCTCTAACACTCACAATAACATATATTTAAAGTGATGTGCAAGTAGGAATAAAACAAAAGTATGGAAATGTACTTCAGGAAAGTAAAAAAGCAAAAAATCACACTTAGACGAACGGAAAACCCAAAACCCAAATATAAGAGAAAGGAGTCAAGCACAACACAAAATTACAGTAGCAAATTACATAAAAAACCGGAAAAAATTGGATGTTAGTGACAGGAGTTTTCGAATTTTAAAAAACTTTGGAGAATTCAGTCAGAGTCCATTTCAGGGCAGCTTTGCGCGACTTCCGCATCAAATGACTTTCCTGCGCAAAGATCTGTGCCAACCCAGCAGTTGCACAGTTGCACTCTGCATTCAGCTGGGATTCCTGCTGACCATACGCACGTTCATGGGCAACATTTGCACTGCCATTTATCCGTAAGTAAAGTGCCCAAAACCCAAAAGTGCCAATTTTCCCAAAAAATTCCTGCCTCTTTCAGCCCTCTTAAGAACATACTTAGGTCGCTAAAAGAGCAATGTTGCCGGAAAGTTTGCCAGAAAAATCCGGCGATTAAACAAACGCTGCCCCAATGGGAGGAAGAGTACTACTTGGAACCTTTGGACACCTACTCTGTGACGGAAGAGTTTTCCGAAATGGGTAAAATCTGTCAAAGAAGTAGGTTTTCCATGCTTTTCCAGGCTTTTGCAGTTATCAGATTTGGGTACATCACATTCTTCTCCAAAGCTTTCCCATTGGCGGCGCTGTGCGCCCTACTGAACAACCTAATAGAGCTGAGATCCGATGCGTATAAATTTGTGAAATCCCATCGAAGAGTGGTTCCAGTGGAAAAATCTGGAATCGGAGCCTGGAATGGGATTTTGCGCAGCTTATCCTACATCAGCACAGCCATTAATGTAGCCATAAAACGGTTCTAGGCGCGATAGTTAGTGAAGAGTTGACGTGTTCCAGGCTTTTGTGATTGCTTTTACAAGCGACTGGGTGGAAACGGAAGTTTACCGGCAGACCCGAGGCAATGGCAGCCTTAAGGGCTTTGTAAACTCCACTTTATCTAGTGAGCAACTTTATGGGGTATTTCACTGGTTTAAGCTAGATTTTCTTTGATTTTCAGAGTACGCAACTTCCGACAACAGAGCTTACCACTCCGTTAACAATCGCGAAGAGTTTTGCTACTTTCGCGGCAATTACTATCCGCCAGAGAACCCAACCAAGTACGGAATAACTCAGCTGTACTGGATGAATTTGATGTTCAAGTTTGTGGCAGTTTTCCTCTTCGAGGTGAAAACTTAGAGGAAAGTTTCCGTAGATAGTTTAGGGTGGAAGTTTCAGCATGTAATGTTGCTGTGCAACACTTTGTTCACCTATTGCTTGTCGTACAAACCAGAATCCGTGCAGCTGCAGCTGGATTTGATCAGGCACAAGGAAAAGGAGATGCGATTGACTGAATGCGAGAGGAAGTTGGAGGAGAGGGTCAAATCTGATACGAAATTGAGCAAGGTAACTGTTCGGTTGGCAGGTGGAAGTGCTTGATGGAGCAGGTTTGGTGCTTTCAGAACCTGAGGGGATTAAAATGAGGATGCTTTTCTAAGTGTTCAGACAGCCAAGTAAAGAGTCTAATAGTTAAGTGTGCAAAGTTTTTCTGCTCACAGCCCTAAGAGTCTAAAGGTGGCCGGACCAAAGTCCCTCTCAAAATGTTCCAAGGGGTATTACATATAATAACGTAATAATGTTGCGAACAAAAGTCCATCCATCAGAAGGACAGCATGTGGTCCCCGGATGGAAGAGAGTCAAGGGCGTGGTGCCGACGGCTGATTGGCCCGTGAAGAAGGGTGTCTTTCGCACAACGGCTCATATTGCGTTACCCCTCGTTAAGTCCACATGTTATACTTTCAATTTATACTCCAATTATGCCCTGGAATGGGGGCGCAGCGCCATTGTAGTTGCGTAATATTGATCACCCTTCCCGTTAAAATAACGTGATTATAGTTAAATGTAATGCCCGGTTCTCTGAAGAAGTCGAGGGGACGCCATCAATCGATGTGATAGGGAACTTGATTCTGTTATTCGACAATGAGTTGAAACACATTAGTGGCTAGTTAAATGGTCCCGATTTAAATTCTGGAAAGTTTTTGGAAAATGAGAGTCGTTTCTTTGCTTTTGTTTAGCTCTGCTGTTTAAGAGTCAGATAGGCCAGCTTATAGTATTATATTCTCAATTGTATCTCAGTTTTCGAACTAATATTAGTTTTATTAGCAGAACTTTTCATGGGGTCTAAACGGGTAAACTACCCTTAAAAGTGTGGTTTGGTTCAATAGTCGTTTTGCACAAACGCCTAAATTATACTGGGGCTTCCATAATTATAAATTGGAAATCTTTTGGAAACGTATTTGACGACTTGTAGCTCTATTAATACGTCGTGATAGTTGGCGAGCATTTCAAGAGTTTTCTCCAGCTTCAGTTTCTCTTCCTTTACCTCGTAATTTCTTAGACGATTTGCAAATTGATTTCGACGATTTGCAAATATTATTAAAGAATGAGAATCCAATAAATTTTTTGGAATGTTTTAAAGCTTCGCGGAATTTTGCCCTGTAAATCTTTATCCAACTTTTACAAAATTTGTTCCTTTAAAACCGCAATAGGAAAATTATTAAAATTTTCAACATAACGGGACAAAAGTAGTCTGTGAATGATCTGAAAATATCGTCGAAGTTTTAGAAACGAATAAATTATGGGAATTTTATGAAATTTCAGCTGGTGTTTTGCTTGTACACCACTTTTAAAAAATCAATTTCTATAAAATCTTACGCTTTACAAAAAAATTTACATTTTTTTTCAAATCTTACGAAAAAAGCCGTGGCGTCAGTTAAAATTAAGTTTAAATTTTAAATTTAACTTTAAATTTAAAAGCTAAAATAAAGTTTGAGAAGCGAGAGAAATTTGAGAATTATTTAAAATTTCAACCGATTATTACGCTTTTACTCTGCTATTTAAAACTTAATTTTTGCCTCCATCCTCATTCGGGAAACCTTTAAAAACTCGTTTGTCTAAAGCTGGACGAAGAGCGGCTTTTGACGCCATTCGAATTTTAGTAAAGAATGAGAATTCACTAAATTTTTACGATTATTTGAGTTTGGCAACATTTTGCTCTGCAAACCTGTCACAACTTTTTTGAAATTTTTACTTTTCTATCGCAAAAAACTAGGAATTTTGTTCAAAAGTGAATTGATTTGAAAGTTTCGTCCAAGTGAGAAATGTATGAATTTTGGGAATTTTTTGAATTTTCAGCCGATTTTTGCCCTGTACGCCACTTTCCAAAAGTCAATCGCCAGAAAACCTTTAGAGGAAAACGCTTCTGCAAATCTGTCAAAAGAAAGGCTCTGTTTGTCCGAAACAGTTCGATCAAGTTTAAGGATCAATTACTCAATCAAGCTTCTTATAGAAAAGCTAAATATTTCATTAAAGTTTGAGAAGGAAGACAACTTTGGAAATTTTTTGAAATTTCAGCCGACTTTTGCCCTGTAGGCCACTTTTCAAAAATCAATTTGTATAAATCCTTTAGAGGAAAACACTTCAGGTTTTTTGCAAATTTGGAGAAATCAAGACATTGTATATTCGGAACAGTTCGTGCAAGTTTCAAGAGCAACTACATTTTGAAGATTTTTTAAATATTTATCAGATATTTGTTTAAAAAATTTATTGCTCACTAATTAAAATATTCCAGATAAAAGCTGGACATTTTTTTCAAAGCTTGCCATAAAAGTCGTCTGCTAGAAGCTGAAAATTTGGCTAAAGTTTGAGACGCGAGAGTAGGGCCTATTTTAGGAATTTTTAATAATGTCAAATTTTTTTCCTCTGATTGATGTCTGTACTCCACTTCGCAAAAATCAATTTCTACCAAACCCCTTTCGAGAAAAGTTTTAGACTCTTAGAAAATGTACCACTTCAAATTTTATACAAGATTTGTCCAACAAAAAGGTTTTGTTGTTGCTTCTGGCTGTGCTGAAAATGTCGCAAAATTTTGAGAAAAGATAATTTCCGGGACTTTTTATAATTTTAGCCGATCTTTGTAGATAATGAACAACGAACCCTAGGGCAACTCCAGTCATTATCTTTAATTCCAGAATGGCCGTCTCTTTGCTGCGGCTTTTTCGTGTTAAAACACTTATGCGGTTTTACTTCTTTTACTATTAAAACGCACCAAGATCTTTGATAATTTCGCATATTTACATTAAGGAAGAGCAGTAAGAAAAACAGACGTCATCCTCACACTTTTGCCTAATCAAGTAAAATACAAACAGAATCCCTGTTCTGCCTCAAAGAACCAAAATAATGTTGCTTTTGCTTGAGTCACCCAGTGTATAGGAAGGGATTTACATTACAGCTCTCCTTCCACGGGTAACGATATTCAAGCCATCAGGAGGAAAAATGTAAATCGCTGCCATCGCTGCCAACTGATATAAAACAATTTCCTCTTGAGTAGAATTCGTAGTTGAGTCACGTTTCTCGATGACATGCACTAAATTGGACCCGGAGAATGGGGAATGAAACAGGCCGTCCCCTGAGTCAATAACAGGGCTGGAGCAATTCGTTACCATATTTATATCGCTTCATATATTCAATGACTGAGATTTTCAGAGGATTTTCTTTATAAGAGAGCTGATAGTCAATTGCACAAATGTGAGCAAGCAAAGCAAGTGAAAGCGAAGTTCCAGTTAAGTTAAATCATGGCAATAGGCAAAAGTATCTCAAGCCCGACCCTGTGCTCTCAGATCGACTTTGACTCTTATACATGAGCCCCTAAGGGTGGATTTGTAGGCTCCAAAAGCTGGCTGGCAGAATGCGATTTCGAGAAAGAGATCGACGCTGATCAACGTGTAAATGGAGAAAGATTTGCTTTGTGCGACTGGTAGATTCTTTGTAACACACTAACACTGTTATTTCGCCCGTGGGCTCAAATTACTTGGTAAATACATAATAAGGAGGTACGCAGCTGGAGCTAAATTAAATAACTGGATAAGGCTCAATGGCGCTTCTTTTGTGTTGCCACACAATCCGCAAGCGAGAGATTTTCATTTACAATTTTTTTGTTTAACAATTTTTTAACCCACTTGCCTACGAATTTCCTTAGCTTTTAAGTTTTGGTCCGTTGACTGAATTCAACGTCTTTCGAATGAGATAAAAAGCACGTAAATTGGTGTGAGTTTGAATGAAAAATATATATTTTGGAGCACAACTACACAAGAACTACGGTTTTTTCGGTTGACATTGACTTTTGACTCACATTTTTGGCTGCATGATTGAAAGTGAGCTGTCAAAACTTCACACTTGTGTTGCCATTTTCACACTATATTCTGGGAAATTTGTCATTTTTTGTTGATTCTTCCACGTCGTCTTTCCCCCACATTAGGCCAGCTAAGATAAGACTTCAAAATTAGTAAAATTTCCAAATCATAGTTGCCAATGCAATCTTTATATCCCACTCTTAAATTGACACTGACAGTTTGTCATGTCAATTCTCAAAAATTAAATTAACTTCTCATCAAAGAGTTAAATACATTTTTTGACTTCAAATGTCGATTTTGTCGATATGGAGACTTGCAATCATGTTAGCTGCAATAACTGAAAATATGCGCCAATCAATTGATTGGCTTTCTTTTGGTATAAAGATGTCAAGGATCTGACCAGTCTTGGTTAAGTTAGAGTCAAATATACACACAAAAGTCGAAAACTGACTTCTTCCGAGTTTCATGTTTCTTTGAATTCAATTTTTTGAGCGACTTGGCACAAATCTTCTTGAATTTTAAGCCGTGAGGTTATGACTGAATTCTTCTGCTTTCAAGCAAGCTCGAAAGCAAGTCAATCGGAAACATTTTTTACTAAGAAAATAATAAAACGCCACAGCTGCAGAAAAACTACAATTTTTCTGTTTGGCATTGATTTAATTCATACTTTGCTTGCATAATCGTATCAATATAAATGTCAATATTTGACAAATGACAGATTTGAAGTCCATTTTGACACATAGTGTGGAATTGTTGTCTTTTTTTGGTTGTTTCCCAGTGATGTTGAAAAATTTACTTTTTATCAAAGTTCTTTATAATTTTTTGTGTTCACACTCGGATTACGCCAATTTGGACACCGTCAATCATGTCAACTGTCTTAACTGAAAAAATGCCTCCATCAATTGCCTCTCCTTTAGTAAAAATCTCACATGGATTCGGAAATTATTCGTTAAATTAGATGCAAGCTTGTGCATTAATGTTCGATACTGATTTATTTAGTTTATCGTTTTTATGAGGAAATGTGGATTTTACCATTGATTTGAGAATTTTATGAATAGTTTAGGCATGGAACTGAAAGTATTTGAACCGAAGAACTTACAACCAGTACTAGGTTTGCAAGCTTTCTAGCATTAATTACAGTCTTTAAAGTCAACACTTCATGTTCGTAATTTTACAACTTTGTCAATTTTTTACGCTCACCGGACCCAATATTTCCAACTAATTATATGACGTTTTAAAGGCTACTTAATGCTCTATCGACCGATGGTACTCGAAGATAAATAAAATGATAAATGGAATTTAGACGAATTTTTAATT